CCCCCCCCCCCCCCCCCCCCCCCCCCCCAAACCTCCAAAATCTCTGCCTTTCCCACACCAGGCAATGATCTCACCCAAGCCCTGGCAGAGACCTGCAGCAGTCCTGGCAGTGACCATCAGCGCGGATGCAGGACCATGTAGAACAGCCCAGTTCTGAGGCTCGTGGTGCCTTGTCTTTCCTCCTCTCTACAGAGTCTCAGGCCCAGCACACAAACACTGCAGGCCACGTGCTTCAGTGGCAGTGCTCTCGCTGGTTGTAATGGGAGCAGGGCAGGCCCCTAATTGCAGCAACATCTCCTTAATGATCAGAAACTCCAGCAATTTCATCAGCTGTCACTACTTACATGAAAAAGGTTCAGTTTGCGCGTGGCTCCAGTTGTTCTCAGTATTTTTGTGTGTGTTGCATTCTCTAATCATGGTAAAACTCTCCAGAGCATGTTTTTAAGGTGACAAACTGACCACCAGCAAAGCACTAAAAGCACTAACTTTTGTTTTCTAAGTGGGGCTGTAGAAGAGCCATGAAGCCCAGCTGCAGAAGCATATTACACTTGGCTTATCCCTTTGCATTAAAGCCCTGAGTTTTGTGTCTGTCAGCCAAGAGCCGTTTACCTGGTGACAAATCATTATTGCTCATATTAAATCCAAAGTACCCCAACACATTTTCATAATTATTTCCAATGCATTGCATGGAATTTGCCTGGTGGGCCAAGCAAACAGTTACCGAGCTTGGATGACAACCTGAGTCCCAGATTGCAGTGCTTGTGAATACACAGAAAACCTCATGTTAAACTCACCTTGATGTGCTCCTGGTAATGGCACTTCATGTAGCCGGGGGTTTAACGGTTCAGGCTGTACAAGGGATCCTCCTGCCATGTCTTGTTTCCACGTCCTTGTATCCCTCTAATCTGCGTTTGCACTTATTCAGCTTTTTCTGATTGTTCCTTTTCTTAGAGCAGGTTTCACTGTAATGCTGATTAAACGTGCCCTTTATTAGGCTAAACTAGGATGTTTTCAAGGTAAAAAATGAATTCTGCAAATTAGATCATATTTATTCTCTGGTCTTCAGAAAGACACTTATTCTCCCTCCTGTCTGATTGCTAGGCTGCAGTCTCACTGGGACAGGTAATGCCCTGACATTTGCATCTCCTGAGGTGGAGTTTATAGGTGGCAGGAAAAGAGAGATTCCTGAGGAAGTCAGTGTCAGGTTGTGCAGGCACATAGCTCTCACCCTCTCTGTGTTCCTCAGAACCCATCCTTTGGCTGTATTGCCAGCGGTCAGACTCCTGAGCCTCCCTGCAGAGGAGGGGATGCAGAGTATGGGGGAGGTGAGGGGTCGTTTACCACCACAGGATGTTCAGAGAGCTGGATCTCTTCAGAAGTGAGAGTCTGTAGCACCATTTCTGATCCTCTATGTTCTGTTTTTTCTGCTGGCTGTGGTTTGTATGCTTCCTGCTTGCCCAATGAGCTGAAGTGGAGTAAGCTACAAAAGGAGTATAGTGCCCAAATTGCCCACAATAGCCCTGATGTGTCTCTCTCTCTCTGCGTTGCAGCCCCTTCTCTGTGGATCCCTCCATCGGGACTCTTGGTGTTGGCGATGCCATGCAAGTGACAGTGGAGTTTCACCCGCTGAAGACCAGGGATCATTCCGGTTCCCTGGTAGTTCACTATGACACAGGTAAGTGCTGGGCACTGCGTGGTGCACACTCTCTGCATCCTTCAGAACAGAGCCCCTTCTAGGCAGAATAACGTTAAACTTGCTTTGCAAACTACTTGTAAAAGTTTTTCTTTCAAAACCTGTGCACGTCTCAGTGCTTAGAAGGGAGCGGTTAAAGGGCAAAGGCTGAGCCTGTTCTGTGTGTCCTCTGTGGCTGTGTGATGGTCCATCCCTGCTGTCAGCACGGTGTTCTCCCCCCAGCATGCCCCATGACAGTCATCTACCATCATTGCCCGTTGTCGCAGCCACCTTAATTCCCTCTCCAGGTGTACCTCCCCTGTCCTTTACCTCGGGGAAAAAGTGACAAATAGTTGGTGTTTAGGGGGTTGTTAAAGTGGATCCCCTCAAGCAGGAATGAGATTTTTGGCATGCTGCTTTCCTGGGAGTTGCTGAGTGGAGGAAGGAGGAATCCTGATTCTCCACTGAAGTGTGCACATGCAGGTGTGAAGTTTTATTCCTAGACAATGCTCTGTTTGAAGTGTAATGTGGGGAATGCATGTCTCTGTCAGACTCTTTCTAAATGCCCCCTGTCCCTTACACACCTCTGTCCCCTGTACAGCTTCTCTGTTGTCTTGCCACAGACCCTTATTTATGTTGCCCTCTACCCATCTACATCCCACACTTCACAGCATCAGGACTGAAGCAGCCAGGGCTTGAGGGCTCTTGGGGTCTGGCAGGGAGTGCTCACTATCTCCCGAGATAGGTATAAAATTTATACTAGGATATGAGAAGCCAAGCTCGGGCCACAGAAATGCTGTCAGCTTTGTAAGTCACTTTAAGAGTAAGTGGGAAAAACTCAAGAAAAGGTGTGATGTTAAAAGGCTTCTGTCTGCCTTGGTTCAGCAGAGGTATCTCGTGATGCTGATTAAGACACTTCTTCAGTTGCCTGAACACATTTGGTGTGCATTTTCTCTTGCCTGAAAGAGAGGTTTGTTTTGTCCCTATTCCTGAACTTCATTCCTGGGAAGTGTGGTATCCTCACCTAGGTGCAACTGCGATGCTTTAGCCCAGCAATGAGCGTTTTATTGTCTTGAGTTTGTAGAAGTTCTGTAAATTCTCTTATATCTTCCAAATGCTCTTTGCAGCCTTATGAGTTATCACAGCTTTCTTTAATATTTTTCAGTCAATGACACATTCACAGAAAATTTATGCTCACTCAGAGAAGCTCCTTGGTTTGGGTAACATTTTCTTGACAGAACAACTGACATTTCAGAGAACCACAAAAGGTGCCTCATGTGTATGCATTTAGGGAACCTATAGGATAAAATTCAGAGTGATGGATCTTTTTCTGGGTTGGATGAGGGCTAACAGGGCTGTGGGGTTTATACCATGTGAAATGGAAAGTCCAAGTGAAGAATCCAGGGCTGGGATCTTCACAGCTTGCTTTGAAAACCTGAGCCTTGTTCTTACTGAAACACCTGATCCCTCCATGGGTAATGTTTGCCAAAGTGATTTTCATGGACAGGCCACAGGGACCAAACTATCTGCTGGCTCTGGGATGGGCAACCTCCCTGGAACATGGAGCAGCTACCTGGGAGATGAAGGCAGGATTTGTTCCTGCCTGTCAATACGGTGCTGCAGTTATTTTTTAATAAACCACAGACTGAGAAGGAGAGCAAGGAATAATTAAGGGATTATTTCTCAAACTTTGAAGCATACGAAGAAGTAAAAGGCTGCTGAGATTAATTGCTGAAGTGAAACCAAAGCATTTAATCAATCAGTCTTAAAAGCTGCTTGTTGCAGGCGTAGTGCAGAGCACCAGACCATGTTACCCAGCCTGGCGGGGCGAGCCCTGGCTGCTTTGTCCTGCGCTGTCAGACTCCCTGTGATGTGCATAAAAAAAGGAACTGGGCTGCTCTTTCAGAGCCACCAACAGACTGTTTCTTATGAAACGGAGGCACTAAGAGCAAAATATCAGTGTAGGGTGTTGGGAGGCATTTTCCTTGCTTTACTATGTGTCTGTATTGATGTGCTCACAAGTGGCAGTAGTTCTCAGTGAATCACACTGTTTTTAGTGTGACTGATGCTGGATCAGGTGTGTGTTGCCTGGCTCTAATTTTAATTCAAATCTGTCCCTAGCATTGCTTAAGGAGACACAAAGCTCTTCCCTTTGCTTGCTATTTGGTTGATTAGAATTGTGCCTCCTTTACACTGTCCTAGTTAGGAGTGCAGGTGCTGTCCCCTGGATGGGCTGTCCATGTGGTGGTAATTGTGTTGCTACAAACTTTACAGGTGAGTGTGAAGAAAATGTCTTTGCTGCTAAGAGCATAATGTTTTACAGTGAAAATTTGACCTTCACTGCTTTACATGTCCAAACTCCTCCATTTCCCCCATGTACATGGGTCTGGGTGTGAAAATTCCCAGCTCATACTCCATCTGGGAACGTAAACGTGTTGGGATGCTGAATCCCTTTCCTTGGCTAACCGGCTTACTTTGGTAACGAGGCCACCCATGCAGGGGCTCGGCGGTTTGTTAGTGGTCACTGTACACATGCAGGAAACTCATAAAATCCCAGCCCTGGCTGTTTATTGCTGTTTGAGGCTGAACAAATAATGGTAGCGTGGATCTGCCAGCACCTCTGAACATCTCAGGTGCCCACGAGGATAAAGCATCTGAGAAAAGCACTGCCTTGCTGTGATAGTCATCTGTGGTTTTGTGTAGGCTTTGGAGAAAACAACCACCTTTGCAGAGCTCTGTTCTCTTTCCTCTAAGAACCCCCTTTCAACCAAGGGTCTTGTCATCTGTCTTGCAAGGCTGGCATTGCAATCAGTGGGTTCTAGGAACTCATTTGAAAATGAAATGAAAATCCTATTGATTTAGTCTGTAGACCAAGTCTTTTCCTTCCTCTTTTTTCTCCTTTGTAAATCCACTGATGCATGTGGACAGGCAGCAGGATTTAACTGAGGTTTAGCCCTTGTGCTGCATTTTCTGTTCCTGAGATCACTCAGACAAGTTGCTGAGTGTTCTCAATTTGAACTGACTTCAGCTGGAATGGAGGAGGCTCAGTACTTGCCTGAGCAAACTCCCTACCTTGTTACATACTTGAGTCGTCCCTGTATTGTGCAGGATACCAGGGTGGGAATACTAAAAACATTTTCTGGCTTTAATCTTAGTCTTGTGCCAGTGTTTACAGGGGCTCTGATGTTTCTGTGAGTAGCGTTAAGTTACTGTTGAGCTAAATTCATGGCAACAGACCGTGAGCTTCTGACGCCCACTGCTGTGTGCCACTGCCACTCCAGTCTGCAGCTGTTCATCTTCATGCACTTCTCCGTTCCTTCCACACCAGGCAGATTTATGGTAGCTGCTTACAAGTGCTAAGAGGTGGGGAAATCTTCCTCTTCCTAAGCAACAGCCCCTTTTGAATCCAAAGCTTCCCTGTAGTGCACTAACTGCTGTAATTCTTTTTTATTTTGTGTTTAGTGCTGACAGATGGTTAGAAACTGATATGATTCTGTGAGTTTTTAAAGAAGATCTTGTTTCCCGTGTTATGCTAAGGTGTAAGACAGACATGCTGTACAAGAGGCTTCTCTAGATTTTCCTTGGGTTATCAGGCATTTAAAAACTTTGCAAGGGGATTTTTCTTTCTGTAGGTGGTGAGTGCATGTTGTGCTTTTTTTTCCTTCTCTTGTGAGGATTCCCAGCAGTATGGATGGTTTCTGTGAGACTTTTATGTTCTCGTACATCTGCTTCAAAGTGAGTGGAGGGAGTCGTATATTGTAGGCAAAAAAGGTGTAAGTAGGAGTTTGTGCAATTATATGTTGACTTTTTATCTTAACAGTAGCAGCACTGCAACAGACCGAGGGTTGGTAACTAATACTTTATACAGCTGATTGGTTATATGCTCTTAGAGTTCAAATCACTTAGATTGATGGGTGAATCTAGTTGGTCTCCAGAGTGTTTGTTTCTGTCAAAACAGGTAATAGGTAACAACTGTTTCCTGTCTTTGTTCCCCTTTCCTATAGCTGCTTGTAATAATGAATTTTTCTCATGCTGTTTTTGATAAGGTTGTTCTGCTCCTTGCAAAGTATGGCCCCTCTCCAGGGCCTTGTGTTTCAGGAGAGTTGATTTGTCACTTTGGGGGTAGATGAAGGGGAATTAAGTTTGGGGAATGAAGTTTGTGCTTCATTTGCTTGAGGTTTCTTTGCATAGCTTTGTAGCTCCACAACTACATAACACCCCTCTGAACAAAACCCCTGCTCCAGCAACCCATGGAGCTGACTGTGTGAGCACAGACTGGGATGTATGTACTAGGAGGGTGTCTTGGAAGTTAGAAATCTTCTTATGGATGTTTTGTTCATCCTCAGGCATGCACAGAAACAGACATCTGCGTGACGCTGCATACCCCATTTTTAGCACATGAAAGATTTCTGGAAGAATGTGATTTTCATCTCTCTGCAGGTCATCCTTGACCACAGCTTGTCTACTCTATCATCAGTGGAAATCACTGACGTGTTCTAAGTGTCATTACTGGTGGAGGTGTTTCAGGACAGAACTGAACGTTCATTAGCCTCCTTTCCTTGTGGATCGATCAGCATCTGCTGAGAAGCAGAAGAACAGCTTGAAGGGTGACTGATTAGGTGGTCTATTGGGCAGGTCTTTGCCAGGCAATCAGAATGAAAGTTCCTGCACCATTTTCCCCATGGCCAAAAGCAATGTTTCATGCAGTCTGGTAACCCAGCGTGTCGTTACTGTGGTAGCAATAATGATTAAAAATAGCCCGCGGCATCCTGGGTACATGGCAGTGATCTTCCATCATCTGACGGTTTCGTTGTCCTTTTCAAAACATTCTGTAAAGCTCCTTCATGCTGGGCAGGACAAAGCCTCCATGCTGGCTCCTGGATATTCCTGTGCCAGAGTATTTCATCCTGGAGTCAGGCAAACAGTTCTTCCTAAGCACAGTGCAGAGGGGTGCTAGGGAATGCTGTGGGTGCTCGGTCACAGAAGGATGCACAGCAGGAGCCTGACTGCAGGGAGATGGCTCAGCGTGCAGGAGAGCTCTCTGAATAGCCTGCAGCCTGTCCTGTGGAGCACTGCTGGCTGGTCACTGCTTTCCACCTCCCTTTTCATCCCCATCTGCTGTCTTATGGCTCCTTGCAGGGCCTCTGGGGTAGAGACCCTCTGCTTTCACTGTGCTGCATGGGCTCAGTGGGTGCTTTGCTGAGGCCGGGGCCACGCTGGGGACTCTGACTGTTACAGCAACAACTGTGAGCACAGTCATGAGGAGGATGCTCTGAGCTTTGTTGTAGCCTGTGAGTGGTTCTTTAGAGACACCTGTGTTAGCAGCAGCAGTTATTTATTAGTGAGGTTTATAAAGGAGGTCTGAAGTAAATAGCATGATGGTTTAATGATGTCTGAAGGCAGCTCCTGAACACCGCCTTGGAGAAGCACTTGCAAATGACTGTCGCTGCTCTGTGCTTTGCTCTGGAGCTGGAGATACAGGCGTGGGGATGGACAGACACCTTTCTCAGGCCAGCGGAGACTTGGCGCATCCTGTAGGTGAAGCCATCAGCTTCCCGAGAGCGAAACAGCTCAGAGCAGCGCTCCTGACTCTGATCTGGTGGTAGCTCTGTGGGAGATGCAGCAAAAAGCACATGGTGGGGGGGCTGTATCAGGCTGTAGGTGACTTCTCCAGCTTTCCAGAGATCGCTCAGCCTGGTGAGGCGACTTGCTTCTCCGGCGGTGAAGTGGTAACAAAGACCTCTGCATGCTGCTTGAAAAACAAGGATATGCCGTCAGCGGAGGCAGCTGGGTATGATAGCAGGAGCAAAAGAATTACTTCTCATAGGTCGATATGGGGGTACAGTAACATCCTTTTGAGTGAAGAGCTCTCCTTTCATTGCTTGCTTGTATTTTCAGTGAAAAAGCAGCAGGACCTGTCTCTCTGCAGCTGTGTTCATAGAAGAGATGAGAGCAAGGCACTGTCTTCTGACAGACTGGGCAAATGAAATTACACTTGCTTTCCATGCTACCTAAATATTCTAAATGTGACAGTCATTCACTCCTAAGAGATTTACAATCCAAATTCAGCAGAGAGAGACCCAGGGATAGAGGAAGAATATGTTGTGGTGAAGACAAAATGCATCAGGATGCTGTTTTGTTTCTCTTCAGTCTAATCAATCTGGCTACCAGCTTCCTAATGTTTAGAGCAGTAATCAATTAAGGGAAAGTACCAGCTGTTGGATACTAGGAACATGTTCTTCATCAAACCTGAAATTTTTTTAGAAATCTTGTTCAAGGGCTTGCTCATCTATCCATTGAGCTATACCTTCAGGCTAAACAAAATCTTTCTATTTAAGAACAGTTTGTACTGCTCTGAAAATTACTCCCTCTTGCACCAGGATGATTGTGTAGTATTAGAAGAATTCAGAAAGATGCTTTAGCTCTTCTGTATATACTCTCTTTGTCTGTTCTCCTGCACAACAGGAGTCCCACAGATTTCTCACTTCAAGACAGTGAAAAGTTATCATGGTGTGCTGATACCTGTGTCTGTAGCCATGTGGATGGATGCTGGGATAAAACACAGAGGTGTTTCTGCTGTGTCAAAGAGCACCGCTCAGGAGTGCACAACCTGAAGCATCTGCTCTGCTGCTCTGTAAAAAGTCTAGTGTTTAATTTCAAGTTCAGGCATTGCTTTGTTCAGGTTGCAGAGTGAAAGCTGTGTCCTGCCACCTGTAGGAAATGTATCAAAAGCATGTAAGAATGAGAGAGTTGACAGCCTGTAATAAGATCACGTTGTGTAAATAATGATAGGGCAGACACATCTAGATTCAGTAAATGTGCTTTCATGGCAGCCAAGCAGAATTCTCTATGACTTGAGTGGGATGGCAACCCAAAGGCCACCTGGGCACATCGGAAAAATCTCACTGTAAATACTGTCACCTTGGGGATAAATCTCTACAAATGCACCCTGACGGTGGTGCCATCCTCATTCTGTACACGGGCAGCTGTCAGGATGTGATGAATGTGCTGATCTGGGGAACTGCTAATACAGCTAAAAGCTGTAACAGTTTCTTCTGTTACTGGTGGTTTGCTTTGTTCCTCGTACTTCCATCAGCAAGTGAGATGAGCAAAGACTCCCCTGTGCTTTTTTCCAGGTGAAGATATTCACACAAGCCTCTATGGAGAAGCTGTAGATGTCAACATCAGGTTGGCCAGGAGCTCCCTGACAGTTGAGAAGACTTACCTCACACTGTCAAACCACAGATCTGTAGTGATTCACAATCGGAGTGAAATCAAAGTCCACTTCCAGTGGAAGGCTTTTTCTACTCAGGAAGAGGAGGATCATCAGAGGCTGAGGTTCGTTTGAAAGATTCATTTCAGTAAGATTCACTGCCCAAGGCTAAAACTAACGTGTAGCCTCAAGAGGTGTGGTGCATTGAATGGTTTAGGACAAGTAAACCATCTATGGCATCAGGTTATGTGTCCCTGGGCTTTAGGGTAAGGGAGCTCAGTGCCTCCCATTCCAGCTCCATCAATACTCCAGCTGAGGATGGTGTTTTGTGGAGGAAAGGTTGATTGCAGTGACTGGATTTCCTCAGAGAGCAATTTTGCATTTTAGGGAGCCCCAAACCACTGAGATCCAGAGACCCCTGGGTTATGGGGGGTCCATGAGGCTGAGGAAAGTGTCAGCACTCATTTCCTGGGACTGCACTGAGTAGCAGCACTTAACATAGCTGCAGGTAGCATAACTGTTATGATATTCACTGCAGCCTCTTCCACTCCAGCTTTGATAAGATGGCAGGCTCCAGTAATGTGCAGGGTCAAGTGCTGAGTTGGCCCAGTAAGTTGAGGCCATCCTGCTGTAGGATGTTGAACTGCCTTGCACTGTCCCGGTTTCCAGCACAACGAGGTATTTCTACCTTTCCTCAGAGACTAGGGAGAATTTGCAGGTGAAGGGTTCTGCAGGGAAGGTAGGGCAGCACGGGACAGAGCGCATTTGAGCTGCAGCAGCCTGTGTCTTCATAGTGCTGAGAGATGGGTCAGGTTCTTCCAAGGGTGTCTGTGGTGAAGCTTTGAAATTCCCCTTTCAGGCAGCAGAGAAACACATATAGCCCAGGAGGATGAACTGGAAATGACACTTAAAAGTTTGGGTGATTAAGGGAATCCTTGTGGGACTTTTCAGACTTGCATGGGTGTAGGTGTATAGGAGTTAGCTCACAGCTGATCAGGAAAGTGCCTTAAACTGGAGCACTTTTTAAGGGCTTCTGAGCCAATAAAGTTCAACATAATTAGGTCAGAAATGCCTTGAAAGCCAAACTAGTTTTCCACTGTTCTCTATTTTTAATTACACAGTGTGTGACTTCCATGCAAGCTCAATGTGTTAAAAGTAAACCTCATTACCTTCTCTGGGCACTTGCCTGGACCATTCCTTTACCTCTCTCTCCTCACCTGCCTGTCTCAGATTGGACCCTGAGTGATCCTCTTTCCCCTCAGAAGCAACCAGGCTTCCCCACAGTTCACTTCAACCTGATTCGTTTCCAATTACATTTGATCTCATGCCAGTTTGTGTTCTGAGTCTGACCAGGACGTTCTGTTCTTCCTCCTTGCAATCCCAGGGATGGTCATAGCTCCAAGGCCACTGTCCTGCTGTCAGAGAAGCTTTAGAGATCTCAGAGCAGAGAGGACTTTTTCCATGAGAGGAGGCAGTGCAGGACCCTGCTCCGGGCTGTGACCCCATAAGAACTAGATCCTTAGAAGGTGTATCCAGGGGTTTGCTGTGTGTCCCTCCTGCAGGACTTTCTGGGATGTAATGGTGGAATTATTGTCCACTGATGGAGGTTGAGTTGGGGGTTGCTCATTGGTGGCGGAAGCCCTCCTCCCTCGCAGCACTGTAGGTCAGCCATGGAGAAACATTCCCCACTGCACTCCAGGGGGGGCGAGCCAAAGCAAGTTATTTTGGTGCTGGTGCCAGCCTTTGCCCGAGGCTCTGTCTTTGTACAGCTAGTAACATCCATGGCCGTATTTCTGTTCAAACTGTATTTGAATTTAGCTGGGTGATGATTGCTATCCTGGTTTTACTACATTGCCTCAATCTGCTGCTACACATGGAGCCTTCCACTCATCCCCTCAGAGTTGTCACCAGCTAGTTCTTCATGGCCGGGGACTGGAGCCTGCAGAGGGGACAGCGATATGCCAGCTAGGAAGCAACTGCTCTGTAGCAGTGCTCCCTTATCTCTTGATTGTGATCTTTAAACTCTAGAATGATTTCTGCTACAGCTGCCAAGTAAGGGAGAGATGAACTGCATCATAGCCCTACAGAGATGGCCAAAAAGAGGAAAAAGATAAGGTGGTTCAAGGCTAGACATAAGGGTTTGGATTCAGAGATGCTGGTCCAGACTTCTTTAGTGGGTGTTACCAGGCAAAATGCTTTCCCCTCTCAGGGCCTCTGTTTCCATGCACGTATAAACATTGGTTTCACCAAAGGGATGCAATGCCTGAATTCATTGGTTTGCTTTTACAGTGCTCTGGGATCCTCTGGTGAGAAGTAGTATAGGGCACAGAGAGCACATTTAGCTTGCTTATCCCTGCAGGTCCAAAGGCGAAGAAAAAAGGAGTGATGCCAGTAGCCTGCAGCTGAAACCCAGTTGCGACTCCCCCTGACAGTGAAGCCCTGCAGTGGGTGCTCCTTCATCTTGATCTGGCTCCCCCAGGCAGCTCTGTGGTAGGAAAAGCCAGTTAGGGTGGTTGGTGGATTCTCCATCAGTTGTGGCAGAGGCTTTGAGCCAGGAAGCTCTCGAGGGCTGCTGGCTTTCAAAAAACTCTTCTGAGCTTGTAAGCGTGGAGTAAAACGACGTGCCGTGGTGGCGATCAGGAAATGATAATCTGACCCATGTGGGACTCCGTGGCTCGGGGTCAGCCCCTCACTGAGCTGCTGTTGTTCCTCCCCGAGCGCTTTGCTGCCCCTGCACTCACACGAATCTCTGCAAATATGTTGCTCATCAAATTATCTGCTTGGTTTGTCTCTCCCCGTGGCTGCAGGCTGCAGGGGCAGAAAGAGGGCAAGATGGATCATTGTCTGAGGGAGTGCAAGGTGGACTCTGCTCTGCGAGAACGCCTTCCCCTTCTCTCCCGCCCCTTCCAGAACCAGCGGGCAAAGGTGCAAGGAGACTCCATGCTTTTCTCTGACGATGTGTTCACCCTTGAGCCAATGGTAAGTGATAGCTGAGAACCTCTCTTCCTTCTCCTCCCTGGCTGAGGTCACTTGGCAGGTGCCTGTGTCAGCTGGTTTGATGTGCTGAGAGAAAACACCAGGTTTCTAGGGAGGCTGCAAGAGCTTGTTGGAAAAAGCATCTCTGTGGGCTCCTGGCAGAGCGAGAGGCTGCCTAAAGCTGAGCTCTGCTGCAAGGGCTGTAAATTAAGGGCACTTGGTAAGTGTCCTTACACTTTTGAGAGCTATCGATCATGATGAGTAAGGGCACAGCTTACACGTAGTGTGTGGGGATTAACAAAGGACATTAGAGCGCTCTCAGTTCACATATTGACCTGAGGAATGAAATGGTCCTCTGTGGAAAGGAGGCCAAATTCAACCCAAGTTTGATCAGAGAGATACCAATCTCTTCATATAACCTGGATGGATACCACGGCTCAGTGTCCCTTCCAGTGTCATCTGTGAGCCTGGACACAAGGCTGGCAGGCTTAAACCGACTTCCTGAGTTTCATGGCGCATAGGTACAGACATTTTGTTGCTTTTTCTGTTTATGCAAGCAAAACCCCTTATCCTTCAATCAGCCAGATCCCTGGTTCTGAGTATTTGCATGGTCTGAGATGAAGAATGCCCACTGTCTGAGCAATGTAAAATCCCTTTTCATCTTGGAGTAAATCCTAGGATAATCTCAACCTCTTCTTCCTTTTAAAATTTTTTTTTTTTTTTTTTTTTTTTTTTCAAGGAAGGAGATCATCTCCTCAGTTGTTCCTATATCCCATATAAGGCTGAGAGCCACCAATGTTGGCACAGCTGCAGTTTCACACCACTGTAGCTGACAACAGCATGATGTGACCAAGAGATTGTGTCAGAGTGGTGGGAATATTGTAGAGAGAGGGAGCTGATCAGCTGAGCATTAAGACCAGCCTGTGGTGTGTCAGAGCTGATTTTGGAGTGTGTCTCAGGGCTCCTGCTGCTTTACAGTCAGACTGTGTCTCTACAAGTAGATTAACCTGCTCTTGAGCTCCTGAATGCTTTGAGGTGAGGTCCAGAAGTCTGGCTGCCCACAGCACCGAGTCCTTGCACTCCACGTAGTGACATACGGACATAAAGTGTAGCCTGGCCTCAAGTCTCGAGGGGAAACCTTTCCTGAATGGAATTTTACACAGGTTGCTCTAGGACTGACTATAAGTGGGCTACCACATGAGTCTGTCCCCTTCTGTTTTGTCCAGCATTATCAACCTTTTGATTTCCATGAATTCCATTATTTATGGAACAATCAATTTCACATTCACTTTTGCTTGTGCCTGTCATTCCCCCTGGCATATGGATGTCTTTACATTAAATGGTAGTAAGTATTTTCTACTTTTTATTAAATGTAGAATCTAAAACTCTACTGCTGTTGGCTTCCACAACCTTCTTTCCGGTGACAGCCCTGTAACTTTTAGCCTGGACAGACACCCTTTGTGCACTGCCATGTAAATCTGTTGGAGAGGCCCCCCAGAGATGGGACCTTATGTCAGTGGACCGTTAGCTGCCAGTATTTTCAGGTGCTGCAATCTGTAGAAGCTGCAGCAGGTCACTTCAGTCTGTATAGGGTTAACTCGCTGATGGAAATAACAACAGAAAAGAGGAGGTGTGATTTTGGAATTACCATGTGGATGAGAACATTCTGAGCAGTTGCCCAAGCCTGTGGGAAACAAGCTGATACGCAGCTCTGACTGAGCACATCTCAGATTTGGTTTAGTTTTGCATCTACACATGATCTGTCAGCAGAGGCAGCTGTGATAGAGGCACAGGTGGCTCCCAAGGGACAAAGTCCTTGCTGTTTACTGCATCCTCCCTGCCCCAGCTTGTCTGTAAGTCCAATTGCAGACCTGTGGGAGCTGACTACTTGGAAATGGCAACCAGAGGAGAGGGAGGACGAGGACTTGTTCCTGTTATGCTGACCTTGACAAGTCCTCACTGTCCTGTCCTTGCCTGGTAGTGACTCCTCAGTGTCACGTGTGAACTCTGAGCTGATGGAGGTCGTCGTCAAGATGTCCAGGTTACAAAGGTGCTACTGTTGTTGATCCAGAGGTTGGGCCAGGAGGTGACAATGGTGTTTGTTGCTGCAAACCTGCACCTCAGCTGGGGAACCAAGCTGGTCCCCATCCACATGAGAAGCTACTGCAGAGCACTTTGTTTTTTGGCGGAAGGCACCATCTCCAGTGGGAGCTGTGGTCCATCCCACAGTTCCCTGTGGGCTCCATTATTTATGGAAAGAGGCAGATGTTAGCTTTGGCACTGTCTTTCTCCTAAGTGCCCTGAGCTGAGAGGATGCACTTTGAGTGTCATTTTAGTACTTCTGTTGCCAGCTCTGTCTTTTTTTTTCTTTGACTGCTTTGAGTGTGATTTCCTTCCATGGATTGCCTCCCCCCTCTGCAAAGCAAAGCAGGTGATACGGCCAGCAGCTGATGGTGCCTGGATTTTCAAGACCAGCTTTTTCTGACTCCGACTGGTGGAGATCTAGCAGATTCTCATTATTTAGGGGCTGAGGGAGGAGAGATAGGATCTGCCATGTATTTACGGTTGGGCTCTTGTAGAGGGATCACTTGTGTAGCTGTGAGTCCCGGTGTGCCATCCCCTCCTGTATCACCGTGCTTTATGCTGTAGCAAAGCCAGCGTAGGACAGCTGGAGTGGTGGTGCTGTACCATCGTACATCCACTGTCTGTATTTTATGCCACCTGCCAGTTTCAGCCTGTCTGAGGCCAGAAGTGTTTCAGCCAGAAGTGTTGCAATACTGTGTTCACAGCACTGCATAGTTTTACATCTGTCCTGGTTACCATCCATGGTGGCTCTCCATGCTCTGACTCGACTGCCATCCTATAGAGAACACATAGCCCAGGCACATGGCTGGCTCCTGAGGTGCCCAGAGGCTCGGACGCGTGTAGCAGTAACCTGCAAGGGTGGGTAATGAAGCATTTCCTTTCAAGCAGCAGTTCTTTTTTCCCCTGTGGGGTAGCAGGCATGCAAGGAACTTCTTCAACAGCCCATTTTAATTTCCCAGGAGAAATAACTCACAGTATTTTCTGTGAGTTATTTCACAGTTCTTCCCTCTGTTCTGTTGACTCTGAGCAGGCTGTGCCTCAGGGAATTATTTGCAGCTGCAGCCCAATAACTCACCATGTCATTGCTCTTCAATTGTTGTGGGGGCTGTCCTTTGAGCTATAAGGGCTAAGTCGATGGGAAGTATTATAGTTAATATTTATGCTGCAGGAGTGCCAGAGGCTCCACTCCGTCCAAGGCTCTTCTGGACATAGCAGCGAGGATACCCAGCATCATGCAGAATCAAAGCCTCACTTTGCTGATAGAAAAAGAACTCTGTTCGTCTCCTTCTATAAGCTGTATTTTCCCTTCCTTTGTCAAGTGTTATTACAGTTGTCAGAGGTGTCTCCATTTATGTCAACAAACACACAAAGAACATTTGTAATGCTAGGGGTTCAGGGGATGTAAGTGGTGTCTCACTTGCAAGAAGTGAAAGCCTTTAGAAACCAGGCATGCCTCTGAAACTGTGCGACAAGGCTCCCTGGGATGGAGCACCAGTGCCAGGACTCTGGGCGAGAAGAAGAGAGAGAAGACCCCGAGGAAGCAGCAGAGAGCTGCAGACACACGGGTAGCATGGCCCAGACTTAAATCCCCGAGCAAGAGCATGACACGGAAAAGATCCTGTTGGTTGAAAGAGGTGTGGAGCTGTAAGGAAATCCCGTCTCTTCTTGTCTGAGCCTGTGTTCAGGGACACAGGAGCGTGTGCACCTCGCAGAGAGAAACAGGATGCTTCTGTGTCTCAACTCCTTTCCCAGATCATCCATCAGCTGGAGGAGCCTGCGTGCTGGCTGGCTGCTCACGGCTTGGGGCAGAAGCAGCCGCCAGCGGGCAGGAGCGTGTTCTTCTTTTATCCTCAGGCAGGAGATCTCGTTCTGCTTGGTGCTCACCGCAGTACGTTAAATACTTAGGTGCATGTACAGGTGAAGGGTATAAGAGGCAGCACCTTTGTAACTAAGAATGGGAAATTCTCTTTGATTTGTTAAATCTCTCCTGACCTGAGTAAAAGTCACCATGTAGCCATAGTGCTACAGGGATATACGGGAAGGTTTGGAGGCGAAAGGGACCTTTTTCTTAAACTGGCTGGCACCTCTGGAGAAATCCTACTGGATTCACTGGAGCGTGAGCCAGTTTTATGGATTCATTATAGCCCTAATTTAACAAAATGCCTCTACCAGATGCCAGTAAAGGTAAGAGACTTAAAAAGTTCTTTTGCAGCTGCTTCCAAACCCCCCTAATTTTTTTTGATAAGTGTTGCTTGTTCCCTGCTCTTCACTGATGCTCTAAATAAAGGCTATAGGGCTGTGGTTGAAAACAAGAAATGTGACATTTGAAGCTAAGTGGTTTGCTGTCTCCTTCTGTTTCAGGAGGGAGATATCTGGCCAAATTCTTCAGCTGAAGTTAACGTTATCTTTAGACCTCAAGAAGCCAGAGTCTATCAACAAACGGTCTACTGCGACATCTCAGGTACGGCTCCTTTCTCCTGCTTCTGTTCCCCACGGTGGAGGCGCAAGTAGTCTTGCAGCCCCCTCGGTTCTCGTCTAGTTGGTAGGAAGGGTCAGTGGTCAGCAGGGTGCTGGCATGTGCCCACTGCCCCTGCGGTTTCCAGGTGGTCTCCTGTCCAAGGCCAGCCCTCAGGATGTGTGGCTACAAGCCTGGATCACTGATCCCAGAACAACCAAGGCAGTGAAGGGATAAGTTCTCATGCCGTGGGTTTGCCAGCATTTGCTCTGCTGACAGGTGCCTATAGAGGCCGAAGAGCTACAGAGCTAAACAGCTTCAGTGGGTGAGCAGCAAGTCCCTGTAGACCATTTGCCTCCATAAGGAGTCTTTATTATATGGATGCATCATCAGACTCCTGAGGCAGTAGGAGCTGAGTTACAAATGTGCTTCCAGAGCCTGGATCCCCTCTCACTACCCCGACACTGCCAGACCTTGGGTGGCTGAGCCCTGCTGAGCGCAGGCTGTCTGCAGAAGGACACCTCTGGCCAGCATGTGGGAATTGTCACCTTGTGGCTCTGAGTCTGTGGTGCCTCTAGGTATGCTGCGCAGGGCTTGCTGTGCTCAGCAGGGTGAGCGCCCTCCTTGGAAATCAGAGTCCGAACAGTCTGCTAGGCAAGCTTTATGCTCATCCTGTCTGACAGAAGTGCCATTGCGTCTTTTGCTGGGAGCAGTTATCTCTGGCCCACGTGAGCTGCACCTTCTGTGCGCTGGGAGAGGTGATGGCTTTGCTGTGCTAGCATGGGGCAGGGAGTGCCTGCAGCAGGCTGCGGGGTTCGGGTCACCTCATCCTTCCTCTCTGTCTCTGTGTGGTGCTGCTTAAGGTGTTTTTCGAGACTGGGAGAGCGCTGTCAGACTTCCATCCAGGGAACGTGATGGTTTTTCCCTGTCTAAGAGGAAGAGGTGTGACGCTCGTGGTCCTCCAGCAGCCAGTCACCTGTTCTGGACTGTGCTGAAGTCACTAACCCAGCTGCTTTGTCGCTTTACTTACTGCCCTAAGCTGAGGGATACAAATGTCATGAAACAGCTTTTTATTTATACTGTAATTGTGCAGGGTTTACTTGGCAAATGCCACCTACAGTCATTACCCAGGGCTTGTGTTCACAAAGTGTCTTCCTGTCCCCCAGCTGCAGCTGCTAGAGCTGTGGAAGGAAAGGATTGATTTAAAAAGTTGCGCCGGAGGGATTCCTCGCTCAGTGCTGTGCTTCTGGCTCTGGGATTTTTGCTCTTGTGATGGGGGTGTCCATCATTTTGCTGCAGGCATCTCCAGGGGTTGTGCCAGGAGAGCGTTTTTGTTGCAGAGAAATAGGAAGACTACTTACATGCAACCCTTGAGCTGGTCTGAGAGTTATAGGAAACAGAGATAAGCAAATGATCTGTGTTTAGAAAGAGAAGCCTGCTCTTAAAAAGGTCCTGATGGGCCCTTGGGAGAACTGAACTCCCCCACTGGCTCCTTGGAAGAGAACCTCAAGGAGGTCATTTAAATGATGCACCTAGCCCCCTCCCTTACAAACCAGAGCTGACCCACTGTATTATCAGGGTGAAAACTGTCCCAGAGTCAAGGTCCCTGGGTGCAAGAAGAGTTTTAAGAAGAAAACAGTGATCTTTAACTAGAGAGTCAGTTAACTTTGCTTCTTGATTCCTCTAAGAAGCGTGACTGCCTTCCTCATGCACTTGCACGCCAGTCACAAATGCCTTTGGAGGATGGTTTGCAGAGGGTGTATGTCTCTTTCTGGGAATGCTTGGGAGCTTTGCCCAGTGCAGCCCCATGAGTTGTGCAGCTGGATCTCATGGCCCACTGGAAAGGGGCTTTGCTGGCCTCCACTTTTTTGCAGGTGTCTCCATGAATTGGCAAGCAGATGCTTCTGCATGCAATGATTTACAGAACTAATCAGCACTGTGCAGTTAAGAAGTGGTTTGAAATTTGCCCTCATCAAATATTGAATCTCAAAAAGAACTTTCTTAGTTATTCATGCAAATAAAGCTGTGGCTCTTGAGTGCTGGAAGGAAGCACATGATTGTTGGAGAACGGCTTGCAGAGAGCAAGGCCATAGCTCCCTGCAGGAGCTGGTCGGCCATAGCTCCCTGCAGAAGTTGGTCCCAGCCACCTGAGGTAAACAAAGGAAACAACCCAGGGTACAGTTATGTAAACAAGAATGAAGATCCAGGGCTCAGTTGTGCTAACGAGGATTGTTGTGAGAACACAGAGATAAGTTGGGGAGCATTATGACCTTGGGGGTGAAAGCAAAACAACCCTGGGAGAGAAGCAGGTTCACAGCAAGAAAGATGTTTATGCATACCAGAGATGCTACAGGGGGCTGGGATATTATAATGTGACTTTTTGAATGTACCCAATGGCTGAGATATTATAATGTAGTTTCTTGAATGTATCCAATAGAGTTGCAAGTAGTGTATTGTAGACTGCTTATATAAGGTGTGATTTCTATCAATAAAGTTGAAGTTTGCTCTATCATTCACATTGAATCGGCTGCTTGCTTCCTCCACCCGCCGCACATGATGGGGGGGGCTCTGACACCTAAAATTCAGTTTGAGGTTTGTCTGCACACAGAACTGTACTGGGTTACACCTTGCAAGACCCTTTTTTAAGCCACTCTTGCAGGGAGAAGCAGAATCCCACATGATGATCAGTCCCTTAGCTTGTGACAGAACTGTCCTGCATCATGTAACACTGTTTATTGATGTGGTCAGATGAGAATCATGTTCAAAACCAGTCACAATGGACGGGGACATTCTGTGAGCAAGTAACTGAGTGTCAGAAAGAAGCAGAAGTTAAGGACCTTGGCAGCAGAGCCCCGTGCTGTTGGGCCACTTAGACCCCTACTTATTTGGAAGTGAGGCAGCAGTGCCACCCTGTGCACCCTGTGACCTGCCTCTGTGTTATCCCTGCTGAGATCCCAGTGCTCGCTCCACAGCACCAGGGGTGGGTTTGGGACTGAGGACAAGGAGGCTGTAACCCCTCCATGCCCTTGGCCTGTGTGCTCAGGGCCGTGTTATGGTGCGAGCATCCCAGGGCCACAGCCCAGCTGTAGCCAGGCCTTGGGCAAAGGCTGGATGCTCCTGGAAGCCCCATCTCCCAGCGAGCAGGAGGACATACTCTCTCTTTTTCCCTCTCAGCTCTCCTGAATGCTGCCTGCAGTTTAGTCTGCTCCTCCTCATTTGGGAAAAGCCCGCTCTGCGGTTCACCTGGAAGGAGGAAGAGCAACATTTCTGGCAGTTCCTAAAGCTTTAAGTTCAGCGTAGGGGTAGAAGAAAGGATGGTTTCCAGAGACCTTCTGGAGAGGGTGAGGGCCTACTGCAGAAGGGGAAGAACCGCCACTGATTTTTTGATTGCAGTGGCCATGGTATATGTGTCTCAGCATGATCATGGACAAAAGCTTGTCACTTGGAAATCTTTGCCATTACCTAAGAGCTTTGATTATTTAGATCTAGAGTTTTTAATTAAAACTAAGCCACATGTGATGCAAGGTGGAGTGATCTTTTGACAGGTAGCACCCAGTACTGCCTATCTTATGGTGTCTGGGAAATAGAAATACACAGCCTTCCAATTAATGCCTGAGCTGTGCAACCTGTCATCTCTGCTGTCAGCTGGGCTTTGTCTGGATCTACTTAAAAAATGTTGAATTCAACAAAAGCTCCCTCGCTCTTCCTTTCTGGCTTGGACATTATCAAAGGTCCTCATTCCATGGTTGCAAGATAGAAAGTCAGAAATCATTGAAAGGGCTGTTCCCAGGGAGAGTTTTTTCAAGTTGTTATCGAGTCACTGTGTTGTCCCACCTGGGCTGCTCTTTGCAAGAGGAAGTAGTTTTGGACATTCTGGAACAACTATGCAGCAGATTAAAAAAAAAAAAAAATCAACCTTCAATCCCTAATTTTTAATGAATGGTGAGCATTACACAAAGGGAGAGAGGAATATTTCTTCATGAAAGCTACACTGAAGGTCAGATACAACTTCTGGACCTTTCTTTATCCCCTTGTGCTACTTGCTTTCTGTGCAGAGTAGGATGGGATGGCAGGGAGACCCAAGCCCAAATTGGAGCCAGGGTTCAGGCACTTGAGGCTGCTGCAGTGGTTCAGAACAGCCTTCAGACTGCAGGATCCCACCCTGTCATCTTAGCAGGCTTACAGAAGAAAATGATCATCTTAGAGTTTAGCTATAAGCCTTGCAGTCTCGGTTCCCTTTGCAGCAAGGGCTGTGTGTATTAGCAGTATGTTCACGGCTTCTCTGACCTCAGCAGTGAGGTTTTCCATAACTGTTCAGCATGCTTCAGGTAAGGTGTCTTTACAAAGCTGAGCTCTCAGTATCATGGTGGGCACAGGCGAGTGCTGCTCTCTGGAGATCACAAAGCCCTGTCTTATTTAGGTGCCGCTGCAGGAGGTGAGCCCTGGAGCCCTGGGCATGGAGCTGTGTTTCAGTGCTGAGATGCTCTGCCTGCTCTAGGCAGCTCTCAGACGTGCACAGCGCCGTTAGCAGGGAGCTTTGCCTTGCCTGGGCTCGTACTTCTCGGCTCCTGTGCTCTTGTCTCCAATTGCATCAGTACAGATGGCATATTTTTATCTTCAGTTCTGTTTCATGAGCTTTGTGCCTTCACTGAATGGATTTCAGAGCTCATCTAAGAACATGGGAAGAAATTCAGATTGTGTTTTAAACTCAGCATTGCTAACTGATGGCTAAAGGAGAAAACAGCTGGAGGGGTTGGTTAGAAATTAGAAGCCAGCCCCAAGGCATATCTCCTGAGGGCAGGGAAGAGTCCTGTATCTCCTCCTGGAGCACCTAGAGCTGTTCCCATCCAGTCCAGAGTCAGGGAGTAGCACTGAGGCAGCCTGGACAGTCCGGGATAACAGAGGCAATTACTGTACTGAAGTGGAAATCTCTCCACAGGCCGCGAGACCAGACTGCCCCTGCGCATCAAAGGGGAAGGCATAGGGCCTCGGCTCCGCTTCAGCTGTGAGCAGCTGGACATCGGGAAGGTTTTTGTTGGATTAAACCACAGCTATGAGGTGAGTAGTCGGGATTCTGAGGGGCTGGGGGGTGTGTGTGTGTGTGTGGGGTGTGGGATCCTGATGGCTCCCAGGGCAGCAGTGAGCCTCGTGGACCTGTGTGATTTCTGGCAACTCGGGTCATTGTCAGCAGGGACTATTTGACATACTAGTCAAGTCTGGGGGCTTTCCCAGAATCTGGATACTTCTGATGGGATCTGAAAAGTGCCTATGTTGTTTGTGAAGTCTTAATCCCTGCTTTTTGGCAACCTTCCTTGGGGATCAGCTGGGAGGCTTCATGTGAAAAAATACCCCCTTGACAGATGAAAGCAACACTGGGACAAAAAGATAAATATTCAGAGGCTTTTGTTTCAGCCCTGGATGCAATGCACCTTTATACTCAGGCTGCTAAAAAGCAGCTGGAACAAATGTACTGAGTTTGAACTCCAGGCCATTGCAGCCAGTTTTTGGGTAAGTGCGTGCTGCTGGTCCTGGGAGCTGGAGGAAAGCTGTCCAGCCTCTGACTCAGAGCTGGGTCTGGCTGCGGAACTGGGAGTGCTTCCCCTTGCTGACCAGTCTCTAGCCACTCTTCAGATTTGCTGCATCTCTATGAAGAGCAAAGCATTTCTGGAGATAAAGCAAAGGAACTTTCTACATATTTGCCTCCCCCTGCCAATGGTGTCAAGTCTTCTGCAAAAAAATAAGATAGGGCAACTGAAAGAGGTAGGAAATGAGGCAATACTTTCAAAAGCTTGACTGGGCAGGGAAGGATGCATTAAAGTGTTTTCTTACCAAAATATTGTGCTCTCTATGCCTTTTTAATGGTGATACTTTATTGATTATCATTTTATTATTTTCATTACTTGAGAAAATGTGACTAAGTAGATGATACTGCTAGTGCTGTGCTGACTGAAGGTAAACCTCAGCTCAGCACAGGATCCCTGAGTGTAATTTGTAACTGAGGTGTAAAAGATGTGAGAGGAGAGAGTAGCTTTCAGGTTACCCTTGCAGAGCTTGAATACATGAATATCTTTAACAGCAGCTGCAAAATTAAAAAATGCTCTATCTCAATTTTTCTACCAGGTTTTACAAGGACAAAACTTAGGGAAAAGAAATCCAAAGCAGATAGTTACTTCCATGGAAATGGCAGGATTTGACCCTGCAGCAATCAGAAATTTTACTGCTTTGCTTTGGGTGGGTTTGTTGGTGCCTGGCAGCAGCTGTGGGCATTGCTCGCTCAACATGAGAAGAGCTGAATCTCAACAAGTGCTCTCTCAAGTATTCAACAAAATATGGATTAGTTCTAAACTTGCAGTTTATTCTGATAATGGTAAAGTCTTAGGTGGTGGCTGTGAATATTTAGGAAAGAGAAATTCTTTGGAGTAGACGGAGCTGCTGTGAACCACATACTCATCCTTTCCTGACACGTCTGAGCAAAGACTAAGAAAGTATCCCATTAAAGAAAAAATAAGAATCCTAAATGACATACTGTAGGAGAGCTGGGGAGTGCTTCTGAAGTTGGTGATAGTGCTGCCCTGAGGTGTCTTCTACATGCAGTAAACTTGTTGGCTGCAACGTGTTGTGCCCTCGGCAAGACCAAACTCATCGGTAGCAGAATCAGTTGTGTGATGATTCACTAGTAAAGCTGCAAGTGCCCTTCGTTGCTCTTAGGGACAGGTCTGAATCGGCTTGGTGATGCTGAGCAGCTCCTCTGCACTGCAAGTCGAAGTGGGCTGCTCTGTGTCAGTTGAATAAACCCCGAGTGACTGTTTCTATGAAGCTGTCACTGTTTTGCATGAAAAACCCAAAGGCAGAACTTGTCCTGTTGCATTTTCTTTGGCTTCTGCCAAGCAGCAGGACACAGCATCTTCTGTATTTTACAGATGTTAATTGGTTAATCAGAAAACAAATCAGCCTTCTGTAAGAAAGGAAGATTCCTTATGTATTTCCCTTTTGCTTTCTTGCTGATGCAGGTGGTCCTGTTTAACAAAGGAGCCATCGATGCTGCCTTCAACTTGGTCCCTCCAGCTACAGCTCTGGGCTCCTGCTTCACCTTCCTCCCCCAGGAGGGCATCATTTCTCCAGAGGGGCTCCAGGTCATCCGGATCTCCTTCAGTTCCACCGTCCTGGGGAAGTTTACAGAAGAATTCAGGTTCAGTGTGAATGGATCCCCTGAGCCTGTAACATTGACGATCAGGTGAGGAGGGTTATAGGAGCTTGGTGGACGCATCTGTAGCTGTCTCTGGGTAATCATCTCCCACCTACCTCATTTTAGGATGAAACAGAGAAAAAAAGGTGTTGTCTAAGGTCTTAGTCTTGGCTTGGATCCTAGCATCCCCACGCTAAGAGCCAAGGCTTTTTAACCTTGACTCCAGTCTGAACCTTGCAGTTGCAGCAGCAAATGAAGCGTAATTATCTGCGAGAGGAAATCGTAGAATTGTATAATAGTTTGTGTTGGAAGGGACCTTTAAAGATCATTCAGTCCCATGCCTCTGCAATGTGCAGGGACATCATCATCTCGATCAGGTTGTTCAGAGCCCCATCCAGGCTGACCTTGGATGTTTCCAGGGATGGGGCATCTACCACCGCTCTGGGCACCCTGTTCCAGTGTCTCACCACCCTCACTGTAAATTTTTTTTTCCTTTATATCAGGTCTGAATCTTCCCTCTTTAAGTTTGAAACCGTTACCCCTTGTTCTATCATGACAGGCCCTACTAAAAACCCAGTCAAAATCTTTCTTACAAGCCTCCCTGAAGTACTGAAAGGCCACAGTAAGGTCTCCCTGGAGCCTTCTCTTCTCCAGGCTGAACAACCCCAACTCTCTGGGCCTGTTCTCACAGGAAAGGTGTGCCATCCCTCTGATCACTCTGGTGGCTTCCTCTGGCCCCGCTCCAACAGGTCCATGTCTTCTGTGTGCTGAGGACCCCCGAGCTGGACAGCACTGCAGGGGGGTCTCACCAGAGTGGAGTAGAGGGGCAGGATCAGCTCCCTTGAGCTGCTGCCACCTGTGACCATGCCTCCTGTGCCCGTTTAACTTTCAAAGTCTTGGGTTCCTCTGGGAAGCAGCTTTGCCTTCATGGTTGGGGTGGGTGGCTCTGTGACTTTGCAGGATGCTGTTTGCACAGAATTTGGCAGCAGCAGGTTCCAACAAGTGTCTGTGTGAGGGCCCCGGGGCTTTAAGTGACTACCTGTGCTGGAAAACAATTTGCCTGGAGGCTGTACAGGAAAGGTGTGGAGATGCCTGCTGCCCAGTCCGGGTACCCAGGAGCTGGAGTGGCTCCTTCCTACAGGAAGCTCATTCCCCCTTGGGCCACGTCAGACAGTGGAATGGCATCAGCTTTGGGCAGTAGGTGGTCTGGGCCACCCCCCCATAACACACAGCAAGGCCAGCAGGACTTTGGGGATGGGCCAGCCTGGGTGGCTGCAGCCAGAGGCAGTGTTTTTAAAATCCTCTGTTAATAATCCATCCCAAATGGGTAGCAGCAGCCTCAACATCACCTCTCATGCTCATGGGTTGGGACGGGCTGTCCTCTTGTGCAGCCAGCGCTGTGGTGGTGCCTCCTCTCTGCAGCCAGAGCAGTGCTGATGGGGCAGACAGGGAGCTCTGCGGCAGGTGCTGTCACACGGGCTCGGGCATCATCCCGTGGGCTGGTGCCACGGCAAGAGATAATCCTCACCATAGGGGAGAAGAGGGGAAAAAAGCTGATGATAGGAGAGGCAAAGCTCACTTCTCAGGACTGCAGCAGCATACAAACTTGTCCCAGCTGGTCTTTAACCGCGGGCTGGTGGGATGACGTGGTGTAGGCAGGAAAGCTGGTGCTGGGTGCTCTGGAGCTGTGGGGCTGGCTGTGCCTCCTCAGCAACCAGCCTCCTGGGCTGCTGCTGCTGGGAGGCTCTAGACAAAGGCAGTAAAGCAATGGGAGGAATCTTCGGTCGACTTTACCAATAAAATGAGGGAAATGGATAAAAAAGAACAGAAAGTTTATTACTTTGCAAGAGAAGAGTGGTGAATAGGTCTGTTGAGCTCAGTAGAGAAAGAACTATATTGGCTTTGTGTTTGGAGGGAAAGTGTTGCTTTTTTTTTGGAAATCAAAAGGAAACATTTCACAATCAAATGATTTATTCTCCTCTATTCCTCCCCCAAACTGGTCACAGGGTGTTATTGCATGAGCAGCTTTCTCCTTGAGCAAGGGCGGGTTTTGCTGGTAAGGATGCATTTATCCCTTGGATACTGCTTGGAGAGCGCCCGCTGCCTCTGCCCTGCAGTGGCCTTGCTCCTGGGGAAGGAAGGAAGGAGCTGTCAGAGGCATGATTGTGTTTTGGCTTCCCCACAGCCAAATGAAGTCGTCCTTTTTTGCCCAGTGATGCCCTGACTCAGTGCCCATCATGCCCTCCCCTTCTCTGTGGCCACTCTCTGCCCTGTTTGGCCAGCACTCCCCTGGGCTCAGTGTAGACCTTCTGTCTCAGTGAAAGAGGATTGCTGGTCCTTTTTTATTTATTTCTTCCCCATCCTTGTACTCCTCCTCCCTGGGTAGTGGCTCCTGTGCAGCCCATCTGATGGCAGCCCAGCACACCCGCCTGCTCCCATGCAGCTGTCCCTCAGCAGCAATTCCCACTGCAGTCCTCTCCTCCCTGAGATGGCATCTGCCTCCTTGAGCTCTGTCTTGCTTTTCAAGGATCCCTCTCCAGCCCTTCTGTCATTCTCCAGCCCCACAGCTCAAACTGATTGTTTTCAAATGCCCTTGAGATGTCCACCCACCAGGTCCAGCTGAGCCTTCCTCTTCGGAAGGTTTTGTGCACTGGATTTCATCCTCCATGGAGAAAAGCTTCTGGTTCTTTTGAACAGAGGAAAGCTGGCTGGTGGGACACTGGGCTGCAAAGGAAGGAATGGGGATGAGAGTTCAAGCAGTTCCATTCCCACCTTGTGTTATTCTTCCTGCTCTGCCAGGACCCTGATCTCCCTTCACACATGCATTACTTAATGCTACTGTAAAACACAGTTGTTGTCAAAACCACTGCCTTTTACCCCCCTTCTCTTGAAAGCTGTACTGTTACCAGCTCTGGGTTGGCTCCTTGCCTGAGCCTTCTGGCCAGTCATTCCAGTTTAACTTCCCAGAGCACAGATTCGGTGCACTCAGGAGAAGTGGCAGTAATTTCCCCACTTGCCTGGCAAGGCTCATCCTTGGCAGTTTCCCAGTGTCATCCCCAGTCGTAGCTGGTTTGGAGATAGTTTTCCATCGTCTCCTGGCAAATGCTGTGATGGAAAGCATGTCTGCTCCCTTTGCTCCATCTAGAGTAAGCTGTTAGGGCTTGGGAGGTCAAGTCTGGTTATGTGAGGTCCCTGGAGAGGGAAATTCACCATCAGCAGGGATTTGGTACCAGGCTCTTAGGAGCTGATTCAACTGCAAGAATCGAGAAGTAGTGTTGGGTTGAAACTCCTGAAAGTCAGTTTTTGAGTGCTCTTTGACTATGCAGTCAGAAGGTGTCAAGAATTTGTCAAGAAGGTGTCAAGACCATGTAACGAGGTGATTACTTGTTACTTGGAAACCTTACGAGGCACTGGATGCTTGTTTCCTTGGTGTTTGGAAAGGGATGCTGGAAATGGGACAGCAGGGATGGACACAGGTCCCTCCCGCGGGCTGCTGGGGTCTGTTCATGTGCAGAACCTGTGGATAATGACAGTGGCAGTCCTGTGAGTAAAATGAGAAGGCACTGTTCACTGTGGCCCTTGATTTTTAAGTGAGGCAGAGCTGGCATTGATTGTCATGAACAATGAAGTCAATTAATGTTTGTTGTGCAGCTTCAAGTACTGATTTCAGTGAATGTGAGTGAGTTTTGGAGTTCGGAGCCTGTCTGCTGAGTTGAGGGACGGGCGAGGTGGTGCCCTTGGATGTGTCAGCTGGTTCACTGGTGACAAGCTGATAATTCCCTCCAAGATTGAACTGTCCTCTGCGTAGAACTGTTACTGCTCTTCTCAATGGATGTTTTGGGCTCCCCTGGATTAATGTCTCAAAAGTCCTGCATGTGTAATGATTGTGTGGATCAGGTCTTCTGAGAAAGGTGTTCATATACTCCATGGAAACACCAGTTCCAGCTAAGAAATACAAAGTAGGGAACCCGTGGCTGGGAAGGCTCGTTACAGTGAACCCCCTTTTGTTGTGGACACCTCTGTCCATCACATCACAGGTGGGGAAACCGAGGCACAGAGCCATCACTTGTTCAGGAACCTTTCTGGGGCCAGCAGCAGCATGGGGGCACACCCTGCTGTGGTGCCCTGAGCCTCAGCAGCAGCTGTCGGGTGCTGACCACTTTGCTTTGGCTGCCTGCTGTTCCCATGGATGCTGTGCTGAGCACGGGGGTGACAGGTTGATTTGAAACCCACCATGGTTCTGAGAGCAGCTTTTACCCACCCGAGCGGTAAAGAAAGCTGAGCGCTTTGCCATTCTCTCTAACCGAGCTAACATCTCCTCTGCCTGTCTTTGTCCTTGCAGGGGCTGTGTCATTGGACCGACTTTTCATTTCGATGTCCCTGCCCTCCACTTCGGTGATGTCTCCTTTGGTGAGTGTGCCCTGGGCTTTGTCCACGGGTTGAGAGCTCTGGGAATTACCAAAATGGAGCATTTTAACATAAGCCCATCTGTCACTTGTGCTCCTCCATAGCAGCCTTTAGGGTGTTAAAGCCAGGGCTGCTGGTTGCTTAGGCAGCCCTGTGCCATCGTGAGATCAATAGGACCAAAGGGATAGAAAGTCAGTATTTTTTGGTGTCCTTGTAGTCTGTTCAGCCCCAACCTTTCAATCCTTGACAGCAGAATGACTGTGAAAATCCTTGTCCCAGAGGGCCCAGGGGACGGGACTGCAGCAGAAGGGAGTTTAAGCCACGTACTGGCCTGTAGCTGCTCTGTGTCAATGTTCCTGTTGCAAGGCAAGGATGCCATTTACCCGCCTGACCTTTAGTGCCAGATGTTAATTAACGCTGTGAGGGCCCCTCGTTGTCACCCACCAGGTAACATGCCCAAGCAGTAGCTCTGAATCAGGCACTGGTGTCCTCGGACCATGGGCTCCTCCTTCCCCACCACAGACCCAGCTCTGCTGACAGAGCCTGGGGCTGAGCATCCAGAGCATCCCCGTTGAAATACAGGGTTCTCCATCTCAGTCTCACAAAAGGCTTTTGACTGAGATGATTGACAGTTTAAATGTGAAATCCACTGTGGATTGGTTGAAGGGCCATTATCATTCTGTGCCCAGGATGCCTCTGTGTTTTTGTGCTGTTCATGGACTTTTTAAGAAGACTCATTGGCTTTCCTGAGCCGCTTCTCCCCTCCCTCCATCACCACTCTGACATTTATTTATTTCCTTTTGAATAAAACAAGAAGAAACACACCAGACAGAAATGTGGATATGTAACAGGAGATTCATCCTTCCTAATGTAATTTCATTAATAAGGGCTTTTCAGCTGAAGGTAGCTATTGTACTTTTGCTTCGTTTAACTGTGCTGCTGACTGTTGACCTGCATCTGGCGACTTTGGTCTCGTTTGGGATTGTGAAGTCTGTGTTTGTCCTTATTGTGCCCCTCCTGCCTCCCTGCTGGGGTAACTGCTGGAGGTGGGCAGTGGTGGCTGTGGTTGGAAATGGAGAAACCCCCTGCTGTGGCGGCAGCTGGTTTTCCTCCCCGTCTGTATTCAAATGATGCTTAGTGAGCAGGCCACGGGAGATGTCTTCTTCTCGCAGAGCTAGCCAGTCGAGCCAGATGTCCAGGACAGAGCAGGCTGTGGGCTGATGTCCTGTCTCTTCAGACAACCCCCCCC